GTGATGCTGTAATTCTGAGTGTTTTATGTGCTGCAGAACAGGAACCTGCTGTAAAACAGCAATTATGCTGAGTCAGGCTTGATTTTTAATAATCTTTTCCTGTTAAATAAATAAATCAAATCAAATCAATTGTGGTAAATGTTTATATCAGTACTATCTTCTTTAGAATTCCTCAAGATATTCTATGTCCTCATTGAAATAATCATTTCTGATTATGAAAATAAATGAGTCTGCTCAGATGAACATTTTGAAAACAATCAGTTGGCTCAAAATGTCCATTATCCTTTAGAAAATTGCTATTTTTCAGCTGAGAGGAGACAAATTCAGCTTTACTATTCTGGGAGATGAACAGAGAAGCCTTGTTTTTTTCTGATAACGTCATGTTAAATGTGTAAGACAAAAAAAATCTCTGAGGCACACTAGCATGCCTTTGAATCTCCTAAATCAGAACATTAAACTAATAGAAGTTTGCAAGGATTTTTACAARGTATTGACTCAATAATGTCATCTCTCATCTTTGTGTGTGTGTATGTATTTCTGCCTTTTTTTTAAAGAAATATTTTGTTTTTATCCTTTTTTTCAAAGAAATTCCAGCAAATCAAGTTTGTGCAAATATGAGTTTTTTTCATCAAGATAACTGCTGTTTTCAGAGAAAACAGGCTGGTTTTTGTTTTGCATAAACTGTTCTACTTCCCAGTGTACCGAATACCGTCACTTCAAAGACTTGGATTTCTTAGTACACGCAACCTCTGGCCAAAACAAACAAACAAACAAAAATAACATGCCACTCTTAAGGAATGTTCAGAAATTTTAGCAAAAGCAATTATTTCTATCTTGACTGGTTGTATACCTGAGATGCAGGTGACAGTTGAAATGTTCATTTTCTTTAAACAGTTGTTTTTAATGTTTCATTTGACTGAACCGAGCAAACTTTTGTTTATTCTTCTCTCTAACCCTCTATGATTTATAGGTATTTGTTTTAGGAGTCAAAAACAGGATGACTTCCAATTTTCCTTAAAAAATGTCCCTATTTTTCCTTTCTGCCCCACTGTGGGATGAGCCCATGGGCCGTCCTGCTCAGGGCCACCTCTGTGGAGTTGTTCTATGTGGAGCAGCAGCTCCTTCTTGATGATCCTCATTATTATTTCAAAAATTGAGCCTTCGTCATTCCTGTTTATTCTTTTATTTGCATAAGTCAAGTTTTTTTTATAGCTGGACCATTTGTTTCCRTCATTGTTTTACCAATTTATTTGTGTAACTAGTTTTTCTTCTATATAGTTCTGTTGATTCTCTCTCCAATTGTTTTAAATTAAAAGCAGTCTTTCTCTTCAAGAACTTTTCTCTTTTGTTTTTGAACATTTTTATATCACATCAACCAACACTAAAAATGACTTTTTGTGCAGTTTCCATAATGCTGTGCTTTCTCCTCATGCTCAGTCCAATTGGATTTCTTATATGCCATTTCACATTCAGCAATATAGTTTGATTGTATCGCTACATAAAACTAAGGCAGCCAATAAGGCAGAGAAAGATAAAAGGTTTGCGTTGAGCCTTATTGAAGGCAAATCTCAGAAGTAATCTAAATTTGTTGATGCGTGCACACATTCAATCAGTTGCACGCACGAGCACAAACAGGTTGGAGTGAAGGCGATTGTGTTTTAGCTTTCACAGCTCATAAATGTGCTGACAGAAGAAATATGATTATGTATGACTTTAACATGAACATGTCAGGCAATAATAATCCTCACTTTTATTCATTTATTTGTTTGTTTTGTGGAATTGCAGCTAGAAGATGAAATGTTCATTTTCTTTACAAATGATCTGCCATAAGGACCTGGTTTTATCTTGAATACCTTTTTAAAAGTCAGTCGTTCCTGTACTGATTAATCAAACAGTGAGACGCCTTCCAACAAATCAAAACGTCCCTGTGTGAATTTACCAAGCAGCTGTTCTGTGTTTGTTCCAGGAAGTGCCAGTACACCCGTGATGTTTAATGAGAACGGAGATGCTCCAGGCAGATATGACATCTTCCAGTACCAGGTCACCAACAGATCTACACCTGAGTACAAAGTCATCGGCTCCTGGACCAACAAATTACATCTCAAAGTAAGTTTTTTTTTTAACAAATGCACACATTCATTTGAATTCATCCAATGATTGACAAAGTCTGGTAGCACTCAAATTTTGTGTAAATATCCTTCAACCAGTGGTGTCCAAAGTTGGTCCTCAAGGGCCAGTGTCCTGCATGTTTTATGTGRTGCCCTGGTTCAACACAGCTGAACCTAAGGAGTGCTTAATTAGGGGGCCTCTGCAGACCTTGATGGCAAACCGAGAAGGTAAAACATCTATTTGAATCAGCTGTGTTGAAGCAGGGACAAATCTAAAACTTGCAGGAGACCAGCCCTTGAGGACCAGAGTTGGACATGCTTGCTTTAAACTCTTCTTGGCAGAAAAATTAAACCTTATTCAGGTTGCATGAAAGCACTGGTACAAAGTCAAGTTTTTGGTTCACCCAGAGCTGCCTCAGAGTTCAAACCTCCAACTGGGTTGTGCTAACATTTCTGCAGAGTTGTTCATCTGTGCTGTATTCATTCGCATCATAAATCTTAAAACTTGAAAAAACAAGCAGAAATCTCAATGAATGTCTCAGTTTCTCAGTCACAGACTTTACACTCTCACACAAACTTGCACATAAACTCCTTTGGCACACAGGAGTGTTGTGTTATAAATCCACCCAGGACTTCATTAGAAAAGCCAGATGACAGATGAGAAGACTAATAGACACAAAATGCTTCCTGGCTGATGGACGCGTCGGCTGAGTGAGAGTGAATGAGAGACTCCAGCACTACATGCAGCCCAGGCACACATGATTGGACACTTTGACGGCTGACAAATCAACAGATGTGAGGGATTTTTTTAAAAATAATCCAGCTGGGTTTGAAGGCACAGCGGACATTTTCATGATCAATAAAGAGTTTAAACATTGATTAGTGAATTGTGCAGTTGGTGTTTGCTACTTGTGTATCTTCAATGAATCAGACCACTGGCAGTGTATTAACTCATTTATTGGACTGGCCACAGACCAGATTTTTATTTGTCCACAAAAACGAGACAACAACAACAAAAAAAAAAAAAACTATAGGGGACACTTCTCATCAAACTTAATTTGACAGCTGGGGGTGGGACTTCCTGTCCTCTTTGACAGCTGTGGTTGGAGTTACCGCCCTCTAGGGGCGGGGATGTCCACCCCTTTTTCCATATATGGGCATGGCCACCGCCCTCTGAGGGCATGGTCACCACCCTCTGAGGGCTGGGTTACTCCCCAAGGGGAGGATTACCCACCCCTAAGGAAGTGATGTGACAGGATGTCTGAACAGGAAATTGCATTAGGTTGTTGCAACAGAAAGTCAGGATACATGAACTGATGTCAGAAAATAGGTTGGGGTAGGGCCATCTCCTTATACGGTAAACAGGGTTTCTCTTTTTTAAAAATATTTATAATTATTACATTAGGTTTAAACTTTTTCCAACAAGACCTGTCCTTTTTAAATAAATAAGTTTTGTTGTGTTTAAATGAAACGAGAACTATCCTTTTTAAATAAATGAAATAAGTTTTGTTGTTTGTTGTTAACCCAGCCCTCAGAGGGCGGTGGCCATGCCCATATGTGGAAAAAGGGGAAGACATCCCTGCCCCTAGGGGGCGGTAACGCCGCCCACTGCTGTCAAAAAGGGGTCTGTCAATTTAAGTTTAATGAGAAGTGTCCCCTATAGTTTTTTTTAACAGAGAAACTAAAGCCTCCTCTCCACAGGCGTGCCTTTTATGCAGATCTCCTCAGTTCAGCCTCAGCCAAACGTCTACATTTCTGGTTCCAACTGCACTTTCAGATCCAAAAAAGTGGGTGACACCGACTATTGCACTGAATATTGCATACTACGATTTTGACGTCAGCAGACTTTCTGCCTGTGGATTCACTGAGCTGAGGCAGAACCTCCTCCAGAAAACTCTCACTGGAGCGAAGTGAATGATTCGAGAGTATACAGCTTGAGCTGGACAGAGCAGTCTGAAATAATGAATTAATTAATTATTCTAAATTACTAGATGGTTTGTTGATCATTTAAATTCTGAGATTTAATATAATGAGTCTAATATTCTGTTTATTACCTTCTGTGTCTGTTAATGCAGACATCAAATAATATACAGGTAAAAACAAGAAACAAAAATAGACTTTCTTATTTTTACAGAGTTGTACATAATTTATTGTTTTTTTTCCAAAATTTATTTATTTTGTGTCTGAATTCAAGGCTATAATAAATAATGTCTTCCAGTATTTGCACACAAAACTCAGAGTGTATTTATACTGTCAAATTAAAAGTACTTTTCTGTCCCCAGTGGACAATGCTACTTCCTCCAGACTAGTTTTTGTTGGACCGGTGCTTTTGTGCTAAAAATGCTCCATTTCTCTTCAGCACTCATGGCGATCGATGGTGCTCAGGGAATCAGTGTACTAACAGAATTTTACTCAAACTCCTGCGTGCATAACCACAAATCAGATCATGCACACAAACCAGACATACGGAAAGCTCAGGGATTCACTGTAATGCCAGTGTGACACAAGCACAAACAAACCGAATACACACATGGAAGAACATATGCACTCACACACACACCAGCACAGGGGGAAATACAGATGGTTTATTAGTGCTTGATTATGGTGAGATTCTTGGCTGGTGGCAGTTTAGTGCCTGGAAACTCTCAGCCAAAAATGATTAGAGGGGTCTGCTCGTGCATCAATTCTTTTCCAAGATGCTGTTTCTGCAGGTTAAAGGACAGTTAACACACTTCATCACACGGCTGTCAATTTTTTTTACTCCTTCATTAAGGTTTAATTTCTCTGTTCGTACACACAAATGATTACTGACATGCTCCTCTAAGGTGGAGGCCATGCGTTGGAGAACAGGTGACCCGTCCCTGCCAGCATCTGTGTGCAGCATGCCGTGCCGCACGGGCGAAAGGAAGAAAGTTGTGAAAGGTGTTCCATGCTGCTGGCACTGTGAGCGCTGCGAGGGATACCACTATCAGGTAATAAAAAAAAAGCACCAGAAAAAAGTTGGACCAAAGTGGTTTGTTTGTTTTAATTGATATGTGAAGGAAGAAGCTCACAGATGCTGTTAAAGCAAGTGGAGCTACGTGATATGAGGTTGAGGGAAAAGGTCTCATCAAATGTTATCAAGATATATCTCCTGTGATAATTATATCTTGGAGACAATTTAGCAACCTATCATCATCCTTATTYTGATAGAAAATGTGTGAGTGGAGAAATGTTTTGTAGAGTTTCTTCACTCTGGAAGAAAACAACATAATCTAAAATAAGTACCGGTATATATTTACCACATTCTTTCATGTGCTGTCAAATTGTAGTCCTGCATAAACCGTATAAATAAAAGTTTGCCATGTTAGGTAAATACCTCATTCATTTTATTTACAAATTAGTTAAAAACATTAGCATGTACCAATCAATAAATAATTTTAATGGATTCTAGGAATTAAAAGATTGAGACAAATTTCAATGTTTAGAAAATGTTGTCATGTCTGGTACTTTGTTAGTTTTAGTCCTTTTCCACGCAAAAGTGCTGTTTTTTCTAAATTAATATTTTTATCAGTCCTTTCTAAAATCATCTTAACCACAGCACCTTTTCACTCTGCAACATGAATTGATAAACTTTTGCAAATTCAGAAATTGTCCTTCCCCCATGGACGGGGCCTTAGACATTTTTAGGTTGTTTTGTTAAAAACTGTAAAAATCAAATTTATTAAACAGGCAAAAATAATTTCAGTGACATATTGGTTGTTAGTTTCACAAAACAATAATCCATTTTTGCCAATTTCTCCTTTAGGCTTCAGAGTTTACATGTGAGCTGTGTCCTTATGAGATGCGACCCGATGCCAACCGCACCGGCTGTGTTCCGATTCCCATCATTAAGCTGGAGTGGCACTCCCCCTGGGCTGTCGTCCCCGTCTTTGTCTCCATGCTGGGGATCATCGCCACCTCTTTCGTCATCGTGACTTTTGTCCGGTACAACGACACGCCCATCGTCCGAGCGTCTGGCAGGGAGATGAGCTACGTGCTTTTGACGGGAATCTTCCTGTGCTACGCCATCACGTTCCTGATGATTGCAACGCCGGATGTGGGCGTGTGCTCACTGAGGAGGATTTTCTTAGGCTTGGGGATGTGTTTCAGCTATGCTGCYCTGCTCACGAAAACAAATAGGATACATCGCATCTTTGAGCAGGGCAAAAAGTCTGTAACAGCACCCAGGTAAGTTAGGACAGTACTGCTATGGGGTGCCATTTGTAAAGTTGCACAGTCAAAAATTACTACCAATATTTTTGTTTTATTTAGACTTTTATAAGAAAAAAAAAGAAAATGTTTATTTTTCAAAGTCACTTTTTCACCATATGAGTCATACATTTATAAATGTCATAGTTTATAAACTA